TCGACGTGGGAAAAAGTCGTGGGCCACTTTTCTATTTTCGGTTCAGAGACTCCAGGATTTATGGCGGGGTCTGGTCCTAGGGACTAAGTGTCGCAAGCAACGCAATAGACACTTGTGGTGTTTTGAAAAAGCGATATTTGCCTGCGACGGCGACCACTTGACTCGCTGCCATAAATCCGGCTACAGGACACGCCTTAACAATAGTCGAACAACGATTGAACCGTAATTATCGACGATAACAAAATTTTTTAACTCGCATAGATTCAATATTGCAAAGTTTCAAAATTTGTCAATTCTTCAATCGAACGTTGATTAATATTAATTACTCACATCGACAACTTTCATCACTAAATTGTACGATCCTGGAAGATCCGGCCACGCCAATTTTTTCCAGAATTCCTTGATCTGCGAATATTTCAAGACACAAATGTCCAATATTGATAAATTCAACAGTGTAATAATTCAATTTAAACATATCTTTATATACCTGATAGAAACAGGCTGTTACGTCAATGGCAGAGGTGCCATGCTTCACGATATATTCACCAGTGCACATTCGATCGAGTTCAGCCGACTTTCTTACTCGTTGAATCGCCTTCAATTTGGCCAGATCCAGCCATTTGTCGACAGCTGGTCTGAACCACTCGTAATACTTGCAAATCGCTAAAGTTTTATGGTCTGACTGTGGTAGGTTCTCCTTCATGCTAAAAATATCACGTACATTTCTCCGTTTAATTATTTTTCAAATTGAAAAATTCTACATTAGAATTCATATTCTAAATTTTATTCTCTGTTCAATTCAAGAAACTGAACATTTTCTTTTTAGATCAGTCGGCTTAAAAATGTGCAATTTTCTCGATTTCATAATGCCACGAATTGTAAATAATTCTTTAAATGTATTTACATTATGAAATCCTGCAGAGCCAAGTATAATTCGAACATCGGCGTTCCAATTTCTGCTCCAGGTGGTAAAACGTATTCCTCGTCCGCGTTTTGGCCGTGAAGTTGAAGGCAAGCTGTGGTAACCCTTGCTCCGAGCTCGTTTTGCATCTACGAAACACATTTCTTCGGATGAAAGCGAAGAACGAAGGGCAATCGTTCGATTCTACTTGTGCTTCAACAGCTTTTCTTACATTTCCACCACTTTTCATACTTTTCATCGAATGAAGTCGATGTGCTTCTATTACTACCTCGAAATCAAAGATTTGATATTTTAAAAAATTCTTTTCTCAAAAGAGAAACCAGGGAAAATTGATACTCGAAATCTTCCACTGTTGTTTATCTTACTGAAAAATACACCTTCCTTGCGTATAAAGGAATACCGAGTAATAAAATTGAGAAGCTTTTTAAACGTTAAAGAACGTATCTAATCGATACGCGTAAACCATAAAAAAAAAAAAAGAAAAGAGAGAAGGCAAAGTATAGAAAATACAGTTACAGGATTTCCCTTCGACAACGTAAACTCGACGAGATTGTATCGAAGCGACTAATTCGTTTGGGAAAGTTGCGTAAAAGTGGTGGACACCCTACAGAGAGGAAGGTTAATTGGGGACTCGAGAAAGAAGGTTTAAGTGGCTGTGCACAGGAAGCACATCGCTGGAGATGCAGGGAAAAAGGTCGATCTGGATGCTTGATATCCTGTGGTTGCGACTAAATTGAGTTTTCCTCTTGATTGTTCCACTTTCTTCGGAATCCTGTTGGAAACGACACGAGAGTGACGAGTCTAATGGACTCCCAGTTAACTTTCTGTACCGTTTATTTCGTTTCACTCGATCCTAACGATAAAATAGAATGTGTGTACGTTATCAGTGGAGGATTCGATGAATTGTACGTATTAGTGTATGAAATTCTGATTCGATTAGCATCCGTCGAGAAGAAAATTGGAAATAGTGTAGTGTGTATAGTTGGGGCCACGATATAGCGAGGTCGTAAAATCGGTTAGGCGTCAAAGTAAACATGTTTTAGCTGCCGGGACCCCGAAATTGACAGAAATACGAGCAGATAAGTACTTGAAACCATGGTCAGGACCGTACAAAGAATTCTTGTATCCAGCGAAAGTCAAACTGATTCTAATATATTTACTGAAAATTGAGTTCAGCTAGGACAATTTAGGGTTTTTTTCTTCTGGGAAAAGCCGCATTTGGAAGTACGGTTACAAGATGCAGATAGAAAATGCAAAAGGATTGTGTAGCTTTAATATTAACATATTTTCCATTTGTAAATGAAATACCATTTTCTACTTGAAGTACCAAATCATATGCTACCATTCGTTTATTGTTGGAACCCTCAAACAGACTGCAACACACGGCCTTGAGTGCCGCAACATCAATCGATGCCGATTCTTGAGAGTTTAATTTACGACCTCGCTATATCGTGGCCCCAACTATACAGGGTGAGTCTCGAGTCTTGAATAATGTATAATAAAAAATTTGATACAGGGGGAGTTCCCTTAACGCCGGACAGCACCTAATATCGGACATTAGTGAAACGCTACCGAGCCGTTATTCTGCGTATCTCCTAGAGGAGACAAAAGGAATAAAAATAAGTTTTCTACGCGTTTCAGGTAGAGAGATTTACTTAAGAAGAAGCTTAAGCGTCCGGCGCTAGCGGAACTCCCCCTATCTCACTAATATTGTATTTTTATATTTTTCTAATATCTAATATCAGATTTTTCAAAAAATATGCAGTTCCATTAAAAAAGAGTTTGGGTTTCATTTCCACAACTTTTTCCTACCTCTGACTGAACAAGAGATACAACCCCCTCCAATTATGGCTCACCCTGCAGAATCTGTATGTATTTAATAAAGCTGTTCGAATTTAAATTAAAATCGAATGAAAAGAAACATCCATTAATCGTAGGCATTGAAATAAGAAATTAGATACAGGACAAAAAGAAGCAGTCTTTTTTTAAATAATTCAACAATTGTATCGATTTCTCAATCCTGAACTACTTGGAAGCTAGTAAAATGTCTATATAAATTGAAAAACATTGATTTCTCCTTTAAACCAAAAAGCACTGTACCAACTAAAATTACATCACACGTCAAATATTTCCTCGTAAATTGCGCAATACTCTTCCATTTACCAAATTACCCCGGAAGAATTAATTCAAATAAATAATAAAAAAAAAAAAACAATTTATCCACCATCCAAGTCCATGTTCAAAAAATTCCAAATTTCACCGGTGAAGTAAAACCGATTCGTTAATAAATCCCAGGGTACAAGAGATCAAGCATATCCAGAGATATTCCTCCGTCGAAAAATTCTTAAGCTACCTAAGCCAACTGGATCCCTCTCCCTCCAAAAATTCTACCGCTCTAGATACACAACAACAACAATGTCTGGTGCGTTCTTGTTGAACCGTTTCAGCTCATGCATCGGGTTATTCTGGATGTATATATATATATTCTCTGTGCGATGGTCGGCAAATTACGCGGAAGATCCATGCAGAGCGTGTGACGTGTCAGCAGGCAAGTCGTTCCGATAAAAGACAAGCGTGCACCGGCTGGAAATAAAAAAGCTGCCAATGGGAAAGCAACGTCATGCTTCACGGCGTGGCCCTTCGCGTCTCCGGCGTTCCGTGAAAGATACGGTGAAAAATTACGCGCTTTACGTCAGCACGTATTCGCGCGCCCCGATGGAAGCGGGAGGAAATCTACCGGACAGCTCCTTTTCAGGCGTCACGTGGATCGACTTTTCTGTTTTTTCTTTCTTTTCCACGGGGAACGCCAGGAAATTAGAGCGTCGCGATTTCGACCAAGGTTCGTTCGGTTTTTTCATTCTTATACTGCTATCTTGTATTTTATTTCTCCCATTATTCAAAATTTTGTGGTATTTTACTGTGTTTTTGAAGGCTCGATTTTTGGATGTATTTAAGAATTTGTTGGATTGAAATCCGTTCGTACTTTCATCGAACGTTTTAGTCAGACTTGGAATTTTATATTAAATTTGTTTATTTCTCGCATTTAATTCCTCCCATTTTCAAAAATTTTGTTGTATTTTATTTTATTTCCGAAGGCTCGATTTTGGACTGAAATGCGTTCGTATTTTCATGGAACATTTTAGTCACTCCTAGAATTTTATATTAAATTTGTTCATTTCTCGTATTTTATTCCTCCCATTACTTAAAATTTCTGTGCGTTTTATTGTATTTTTAAAAGAGGCAGTTTATTTTACTTTTGAAGACTCGATTTTTTGATCTATTTAACAATTTGTCGGACTGAACTGCGTTCACTTTTTCATCGAACAGTTCAGTCACTCCTAGTATTTTACATTAAATTTCTGTATTTCTTGTATTTTTTCAGAGGTGATTCATGCTATTTTCCAAGCAAATATGATTTTGAAGGATTTATTTAACGATTTATTTGAATGATTTACTGTATGTGCTTCTATGATTCATCCTGTTAATCATTTGAATCCTTTGATAGCAGAAATATGGTCGAAATATCCGGGATTGGTTCAGATAATGAGACACTGCCTCCTATTTGCAGAAATGATAATTAGTATTAAAATCGACGTTTGTGTTTTACATATTATAAATACTACTGTATTTAATAGAACAAGTATAACAGAATCCATGAAATGAAATTAAGAAAATTATTAAGAAATTGATTATTAAGAACGTGAACTTATTAACATGAATAATTAATAAGAAAATTCCGAAGGCAATGTACTAAAATTTAAAATGAAAAATTATGCTTTGCACTTTGAATTCATACGAATATTAATTTACATTTATCAAAATTCGTTTCAATCAAGCTTGTCACGTGTCGATCACGTCCCACTTCCATCGCTGCTCTTCACGTGAAACAACAAAGTACACTTACATGAAAATGCGTCAGTAAGGACTACATACAGTGTAGATAGATAGCTTGGCGACTGTATTAAATTCTTTTTCAGCTGTTATTATTTCAAATCAGAAGAACATCTTCGTACAGAGAAGTAACTTTTCCTTTGATCTCGAGAAACGTCTTTATATATGTACATACAATTGAATTAAACATAGAATCACACCGATGATACTTATCTGCATCAGTGTCAATTCTTTATCACACACTTTAGCATTCTTTCAACGACAAAAGCTACTTTTACCATCTTTTCCTCAAATTCAAGCATTGTAACCAAAACTACGCAAAGTATGTTTACTACGTAAGCAGTAAAATTTCATCTGTACACCTTCCAGCTAATATTTCCAAATCTCTACTAGCCTCGGGACAATTCTATACTTTACTGGAATTTCGAAACTCGAGGGAGAATTCGTATTTACAAGTGATCGTTGGTGTAAAACAATTTCAAGTAACTACCAG